TATAGAAAAATGCATAGATACCAAGGCAATGAAGTACGTATACTTAGTATCCAACTTTAACAAAACTTAACATTTGCCCCTTTTGGTTTCAACTCTTATTTTGAAAAAATAAACTGTAACAGATACATTTAAAATCCAAACTATTTCTGTACCCTTTCCTCTGTTCTTCCTTCTTCCCCAAAGGAGGTACTCATTGTCTTAAATAAAGTAGTCATAATAAATGTTATAACTGGTCTTACAAAGTAATAAAATATTTTTGCACGTTTTAAAATTTTGTATCTGTCATACTCTCCTATCATCCTGGAAGTTTTCAGTTAACATAACGTCTTGAAGACTTAAGCCTATCAATGCCTGGGGCTCTGCTTTCATGTTCATAATATGAGTAGACCACAAGTTAAAATAGGTATATACAGTTGTGCTACAATATTTAATTGAATGACCCATCCTCATTCACTAAAAATGCCATTTCAATTCTAAAAATTGTGAATTTGTTTGGGGCTGTCATCTTCTGTGTCCCATAGGGTTAGCCACATATTAGGCTACAAAGTGAGTCTCGTAAAGCTTCAAAGACCTAACCTCATAGAGATTTAATTATTTGGCTACGTAATTACATTAGACATCAATAATGAAAAGATAGTTTAAGAAAACATGTTTGGAAACTAAAATGCATCTAAATACATTATTTAAGTCCATAATGAGCATTTGAGGAAGGGTCCAAGAGCAATTCCTGCCAGCACATGGAGAATAGTTTGAGGAAGCTGTATTTACAGAGTTTACTGGAAGAAGACGTGTGAGTTTTCCTTGGGCTAGCTGGATCCGATGAAGATGCATGAGCTGTGTCATCTTGAAAGACATCCCACCCAAGAGGGCTTCTTGTTAGGATGAGGCAATCTTAGGAGATTAAGTCTAGAGGGTTGCAGTCAGGTATCAATCCTGAATAAGGTCTCTAAGAGATGCCAGGTTCTGGATTGATTAGTCTTTTCTGGTAGCAATAGCTTCCTATGGGTGCTCTCCATTGGGCTCATACGATGCTCCAAGAGAAAGAGTCTGTATTTGCAATCTGTACCAACGGCACCACTCAGTGAGACCTTACCTTTCTTTGTCTTTTTCCTTTGACATCGCACTAGCCAGAGACATCTTAGAGGTAGGATGCAAAAGATGCTGCAGTAATGAAGTCTGCCACATCCCTCTTTCCCTCATACAGGTTTCTGAATAAGAGTAGAATTCCATTTGGGAAAGGAAGAAAAGTTTAAATTGATTGAGATTTAAAGTTTTGATGTTCAATTGAATTGCATTTTTAGTCCTTAAAAATGAGATCTTTCAAAAGCAGTGGTGTGAAAAAAATGGTGCTTCCTGCTTTGCTTCCACAAGGTTCAGTTTTTTCCCCAAACACTGTTGTAACAGAATTTCTCCTTAAATCTTCACTACTTTTTGAGGTAAACACCATTTGATTACTATTTGACGGATAAGAAAACATAACATGTCCAATATCACACAACTAATAAGTGGCAGAAATGGAGTTAGATTCCATGTAAGTCTGACTTAAAGCCTTTGCTATTAACTGCAGACTACTGTCCTTTAATAATCACCCAGTAATTCCCAGGCTTTATTCTAGGTATAAAGAATCCAGTGACCAATATATGCATGTATCTGTATATATGCACACACGTGTGTCTGTATATACACATATATCTACGTATACAGATAAACATACGTATTCAAGTGTTTTAACAGTCTACTTTGGGAGTCAGGCAAAATCAATAGTCACACAGTGAACGGAAGAGTGAAAAATGCTCTAGTGAAATACTATGCTGGGATTCAATGAAAGCTTTGAGTAGAAATGAACCCTGAGTCTTCAAGATGAGTAGCCTTTAACCAGTTATCTTGTGGGGTTGAAATCTGGGCCCTGAGGGACGACACTCCATGGAAGACAGAATAGTGTATGTCAAAATATTTTTATTGTTGGGTCATTTAAAAGGATGTAAAATTTGGGTTTGGTGTTTTCTCTCAGCACTGAGAAGAGTTTCTTATTTTCTAGAGTCTTTTTGCTGAGAAATCTTCTGTCAGAAAGTCTGTCTTTCCTTTGTAGGTAATAGTTCCTTTCTCTCTGGTTGATTTTAATACAGTCTTTGTATTTGCTGTTTATCAGTTTCCCTAACATAGTGCCTATGGATGGATTTTTAAAAATTTGTCTTGTGTAGGAGTTAGCTTCTCTCTTCAGCCTCTGTCCAGCCCATTCATTGAGATTTTAATTTGAATGTCAGTATTTTTATTTTCCAGTCTTTCTTTTTGGGTCTTTCCCCAATCTGTTGTATTTTTTAAAATACTATCTCATTTCTTATAGTCTTTATTCATTCATTTAGACACAAAGCATTTTAAACATAATTTATAATTCCTTACAGATTTGTTAATTTATGATATTTAGAGGGAGATAATCCTATTATGCACTGATTGTCTTCATAATGAATGCATTTTTGTGTGTGTTTTGTGATTTTGAACTGAGAGCTCATCTTTTTGGTTAGTTTTTATTTGTGTGACTCCTGTACAGTATAGTGTTAGTAAGTCCTTGAGAAGAAGTTTTGTGTTTGCTTCTACAAGATACCTCAACGCTTTTAGCAGTCTGACAGTGAATTTTGTTAGTCTATCAATTTTCAGGTTTTAGCATCATTTGTGTTTTGTATATCAGCTTTATCCATTCCATGTGGCCATGTGCTCTACAGACCCATAATGCAGTCTCATGGGAGACATTTTCATCTCCATGTAGTACAGGTTGAAAGATAGAAGTTTTCTTTGGGTCTCCTATAGCCAGTGGTGTATGTGTATGTGTGTGTATGTATGCATGTATATACATACATACTTGTTCACTGAAAGTTTAACCTTTTGAATGTTCTTAATTTATGTGGTAGTTTCTACCACTCGCCTCACACAAGCCTAAGAACTCATCTCTTATCCCACAAGGGGGTTGAAACAAGCCTCTGGACTCCAAAGACTGATACTGTGTCCCCTCCCACCTACCCAGCATTTCCCTAACATTCTTGAAAACTCAGTTATGAATTTAAAAGGCTGATTATTGATCTCTTTTAAACTTCTATCTGTGCTGTGTGGGAAAGTGTTATTTAAACCTCCTATTTCAGGAAGATGAGGTTCTCAGAATAACATATGAAGATCTACAGGAATGTGAGGTCTTAGCATGTTCAGAAAACTAATGAAAAACTGCCTAGTTTGAAAAGTACTGGGTAGGTGGCTCAGCATAAGCCTGGTTAGTTAGGTTACGTACTGACAATGAAAGTCACATCAAGCTATTTGGATTTTATTTTGAAAGTGCTGACCCTTAAAACAAGAAATCACATGTTGGAAATTTTATTTTGGCATAAATATGGAAGATCTATCAGGGGAGATTAGTAGAGAAATTGGTAACTAGGCTATGAAATTAGTACTGGTTAGAGATGCTGAAAATTAAATAGTGTTACTGGACTGAGAGCAAAGGGCAGATATAAGGGAAAATGTAGATGTCAAGGAGTGATTGGAGATGAGGAGATGAAGGCGAGATTCCCCCAGGTTTTCATTTGAACAGTCAGATGGATGGAACCGATGACGCAGTTAACCTACAAAATCAAATAAAGAGGAACACCAAGTTATTTCATGACAACTTGAGACAATTTCACTACAAAAACCAACTGCTTATAAAGAACCATTTCTGTATATATTACATGTTAAATGGTACATTGTGTTCCTTACAGGTTCAGATGGAAGAAATCATGGGGACCACAGTGGGATGAAGTGTGAACAGAAGATGAGGAGCTAGAGACGGTGAGTGTAGGAATTGTCTCATGAAATTTGCTGCTGGAAGGAGGTAAGCAGTAGTTGGACGAAAAGACAATATTGTTTGCAACTGTACGAGAAACTTTATCAGGGTATTTGGATTATGTAAAAGAACCAATTAGAGTGGGTAAAAAGGAAGAAATATGGGGGGAAATGCTATAACACGTCAAGGGAGTGAAGTCACAGATCTAGATGGAGGGCCCATCGTGGTCAGTTGAATTTAAGACTTTAAGGAGTTTGAAGAATTAACTAGAATTGTTACGATCCCTAACCTATGACCTATGACTTGCTTTTTGATTAAAACTCTCTTTCAGGCAGGCTCAGTGTCACTCATCATGGGCTGTGCCTCCAATGCCTCACATTCTCCAGTCTTCTTGCTTCTCGGGTTCTCGAGAGCTAGGGTCCCCCACAGGGTCCTCTTTCTCCTGTTCCTGGCTATTTACCTGACTACCATAATGGGGAACGTGACTCTCGTGCTGCTCATCTCCCGGGACTCCAGGCTCCACTCACCTATGTACTATCTGCTCCGAGGTCTCTCCATAGTAGACATGGGGCTGTCCACGGTCACCCTGCCCCAGCTACTGGCCCATCTGGTCACTAATGACCTAGCCCTTCCTGCTGCCCACTGCTTGGCCCAGTTCTTCTTCTTCTATGCATTTGGAGTCACAGACACCCTTGTTATTTCTGTAATGGCTCTGGATCGCTACGTGGCCATCTGTGACCCCCTCCACTACCATTCAGTGATGAATCGCCAACTCTGTGCCCGCTTATTGGTCTTGAGCTGGGTGGTGTCCATAGTGCACACCATGCTGCACGTGGGACTCCTTTTGCCTCTTCACTGGGCTGAGGATGCTGAGGGCAACGTTAAACTTCCCCACTTCTTTTGTGACCACCGACCACTTCTGAGAGCTTCTTGCTCTGACATCCATCCCAATGAGCTGGCCATATTCTTGGAGGGTGGCTTCCTCATGCTAGGCCCCTGTGCCCTCATTGTACTCCTATGTCCGCATTGGGGCCACCATCCTACGTCTGCCTTCAGCGTCCGGTCGCCGCCGTGCCATCTCCACCTGTGGATCCCACCTCACCATGGTTGGCTTCCTCTACGGCACCATCATTTGGGTCTACTTCCAGCCTCCTTCCCAGAACTCTCAGGATCAGGACATGGTGGCTGCCGTGATGTACACTGCCGTCACACCTCTGGCCAACCCTTTTGTGTACAGCCTCCGCAACAAGGATGTCAAGGGTGCACTCCACAGGCTGCTTAGGGAAGGGAGGGTGGACTCCGGTTAGCCTGCCTAAGAGCCATCCATGCTGGTTAGGTGAGGAAAGACACAGGCAGATTTGAGCACCGCTGGTTTTGGAGTTGTTGGGGAGGGATGGCCTGGACAGTTCATGGAACTTCAGATTCAGCTCTTGTAAATGTGGTGCTCTGACAGCTGTGAACATTCCACATTCATGCCACGTGGGCTCAGGGCTCCCTCATCAGAATGCCTCTGGAACCATCCCTCAGACCATTTATCTTCAGTTGTCAGAGTGGATAGAAATGAGTCACTAGGCCAGGGATGTTTAATTCTAGTGGTTTGAAGACATATGGGAATATTATTGTGAAATTCTGAACTAAAGCAGACAGTGAAATTAATTACAGTCACATTTAACTTGGTGTGCTTGTTTGTGGGAAGTGTGTTGGTGCATATCAGAAAGTTAGTTGAAGAGAACAGTTTAGGTAAACTGAGATGGCAATTTTATACCTTCTTCATTAAGTGAGCAAATACATGCCCAGAAGTGAGTGTGACATGGGGGCCATGATTCTACTGATCCACATGTGAGCCTCAGTTTCCATGGGCCTCTCATAATGTGAGCATCCAATTCTGATACATGTGAATTCTATTTTATATCCTTGAAGTTAATTTTAATTTGCCTTTTGAAGTAAAAAATGTGGAGAAAATGCAAGCTAAATACTTTGCTGCATATAACAAGAAATGGCAAACTATTTCAATAGAGAAAACAAATTGGCTGTGCTTAGCTTTTGGGGAACTGGACATTGGCCTCTATTTTGTTAGCTCTTACGATATTCACCACAATCATTTTTAAAAATGTATTGACGTATAACATTGTGTGAGTTTAAGGTGTACAATGTGTTGATTTGATACATTTATATATTGCAATACGATTACCAGCATAGCATTAGCTAACGCCTCTATCACATCATATAATTATCATGTCTTTTTTGTGGTGGGAGCAATTAAGATCTAATCTCTTAGAAACTTTGAGGTTTGTGGTGCAGTATTGTTGTCTATAATCGCTCTGCTGTGCATTAGTATCTCCAAGACATTTATCTGCTAGTTGCAGGTTTGTACCCTTAAACAGCATCTCCCCAAGACTCCCACTCTCTGATAACCACCATTCTGCTCTCTGTTTCTGTGTTTAGCTTCTTTAGATTCCATGTGTAAGCTATGTCATACAGTATTGTCTTTCTCGGTCTGACTTATCTCACTTAGTGTCATGCCCTTAAGGTCCATCCATGCTGCAACAGATGGCAGGATTTCCTTCTTTCTCGTGGCCGAATGATATTGCATTATGTACATGAACCACATTTTCTTTACCTGTTCATCCACTGATGGACATTTAGGTTGTTTCCGTATCTTGGCTATTGTGAATAGTGCTGTAATAGACATGGGAGTGCAGATATTTTTTGCAGATATCTTGTTTTCATTTCCTTTAGATATTACCCAGAAGTGGAATTGTTCCATTATATGGTAGTTGTATTTTTAATTTTTTGAAGAACCTCCATACAGTTTTCCGTATTGGCGATACCGATTTACATTTCCGCCATCAGTGCCCAAGGGTATACTTTTTTCCACATCTTTGCCAACACTTGTTTTTTTGATGACAGCCATTCTAACATGTGTGCAGTGCTATTTCATTACACTTTTGATTTGCATTTCCCTGATGATTAGTGATGTTGCGCACCTTTTTATGTACTTGTTGGCTATTTGGATGTCTTCTTTGAAAAGTGTCTGCTCAGATCTTCTGCTCATTGTTTAATCAGGTGTTTTGGTTGTTTTTTAATTATTGAGTTATGTCAGTTCTTTATATATTTGGATATTGACTGCTCTCAGATATATGGTTTGCCCAGTATGTTCTTCCATTCTGCAGTTTGCGTTAGTATTTTCACTGTTTCTCTTGCTGTGCAAAAGCTTTTTAGTTTGATGTAGTCCCACTTGATTTTTGCTTTTGTTATTTGTGCTTTTGGTGTCATATCCAGAAAACCATTGTCCAGATTAATATGAAGGAGCTTCTTTTCTGTTTTCTTCTAGGAGTTTAATGGGATCAGATTTTATGTTTAAGTCTTTAATCCATTTTGAGCTAATTTTTGCATATGGTGTAAGACAGAGGTTCAGTTTTATTTTTCTATATGTGTTTTTCCAGTTTCCCCAACATCATTTGTTGAAGGGATTATCCTTGCTGCACTGAATGTTCTTCATTCCCTTGTCAAAAATTGATTGGCAAAAATAAGTGGGTTTATTTCTGGAGTCTAATTATATTCCATTGATCTATGTGTTTATCCTTTTGCAAGTACCACATTCTTTTGATTGCTTTAGTTTTGTAATAAGTTTTGAAATAGGGACAGATGAGTCCTCTTTGTTCTTTTGTTTTTTTCAAGGTTGTTTTGGGTATTCATGGTTCCTTGAAATTTCATATGAATATTAAGCTTGCTTTGTTTCATTTATACAAAATAGTCCATTGGGATTTTGATAGAGATTGTATTGAATCTGTAGGTCAATTTGTAAAGACTTGTACAAAATAACATAACTCAGTAGGGAATGGGTCATATTGCAATGAAAGACAAGTAGTGTAGACTGGGAGACCTTGACGGCTAGCAGAGCCATTTGGAGGAAAAAATGGCAGAGGACAGAACTCCAGGGATAGTTCCTCCCCCTAAACACCAAAAAACTTGGCAAATATCATTAGAAGCAACTTTATTGGAACTCTAAAAGATAGGTAAAAGTTTACATCATCAACAAGAACAGATAGCCAGGAGAAAAGTCACTGAACCAGGATAGAAGATCTTTGTGGAATTTTAAATTAACCAGTCCAACACCCCAATTGGTCTTGGTCACAACAGTTTGCATTCCCAAGAAACTCTCAAATTCTCATATAATCTCAGATTTTTCTTTTTTTCATAGCAGAGTCATTTTTAAAACATTTTTTATTGATTTATAATCATTTTACAATGCTGTGACAAATTCCAGTATAGAGCACAATTTTTCAGGTACACATGAACATGTATACATTCATTGTCACATTTTTTTTCTCTGTGAGCTACCATAGGATCTTGTATATATTTCCCTGTTTTATACAGTATAGTCTTGTTTATCTATTCTACATTTTGAAATCCCAATCTATCCCTTCCCACCCCCAGTCCCCTTGGCAACCACAAGTTTGTATTCTATGTCTATGAGTCTGTTTCCGTTTTTATGCTTTTTTTTTCAGATTCCACATATGAGCGATCTCATATGGTATTTTTCTTTCTCTTTCTGGCTTACTTCACTTAGAATGACATTCTCCAGGAGCATCCATGTTGCTGCAAATGGCGTTATGCTGTCAGTTTTTATGGCTGAATAGTATTCCATTGTATAAATATACCACCTCTTCTTTATCCAGTCACCTGTTGATGGACATTTAGGCTGTTTCCATGTTTTGGCTATTGTAAATAGTGTTGCTATGAACATTGGGGTGCAGGTGTCAGCAGCAGCATGTAAAGCATTGAAGCTAGAACACTCCCTTACACCATACACAAAAATCAACTCAAAATGAATCAAAGATTTAAACATAAGACAAGATACAGTAAACATCCTAAAAGAAAATATAGGCAAAACATTATCTGACATACATCTCAAAAAATGTTCTCCTAGAACAGTCCACTCAAGCAATAGAAATAAAAGCAAGAATAAACAAAGGGACCTAATGAAACTCACAAGCTTCTGCACAGCAAAGGAAACCATGAGTAAAACAAAAAGACAACCAACGGAATGGGAGAAAATTTTTGCAAATGAAACCAACAAAGCCTCGATCTCCAGAATATAAAGCCGCTCATACAACTTAATAAGAAAAAACAAACAAACAAATCCAAAAATGGGCAAAAGACCTAAGCAAGCAATTCTCCAAGGAAGACATACAAATGATCACTAGGTATATGAAAAAATGCTCAGTATCACTAATTATCAGAGAAATGAGAATCAAAACTAAATGAAGTATCACCTCACACCAGTCAAAATGGCCATCATTCAAAAATCCACAGATGACAAATGCTGGAGAGGCTGTGGAGAAAGGGGAACCCTCCTACACTGCTGGTGGGAATGCAGTTTGGTGCAGCCACTGTGGAAAACAGTATGGAGATTCCTCAAAAGACTAGGAATAGACTTACCATATGACCCAGGAATCCTGCTCCTGGGCATATATCCAGAAGGAACCCTACTCCAAAATGTCTCAAGTTATTTTTTAATTTCAACTTTGATTTCATCATTGGCCCATTGGTTTTGTAGTAGCATTTTGTTTAATCTCCATGCTTTCCTTTTTTCTCCTTTGTTTCTCTATAGTTGA